AATCGGATGTCTTAGAAGCTCTGAACCTATTGCCCTTCCTGATTTCCCAGCGTTCTTTAATATTGAGCATTTCTTTTCTGGGGGCAGTAGTGGGGGTTGAACCCAGGGCTTTGCCCATGCTAGGCAAGTGCTCTGCCACTGAGCTGTGTTCCCAGGATAGCAGAGAGCATTTACTGAAACTCTCCTGATGCTTCCCTCCCCACTGCAGTTTCCATGATGAAAACTGGAGGGGTGGGGGAGGAATCTGTGAAGCCAGTGCCCAGGGCTCCATGCCCAGTACCTGCCCAAAGCAGCCAGCACTGCTGGCTCTAAGGCCCTCTGGGCCTCCTTGTCTCAGCTGAATCCCTTCTGTGCTCGTCTTTGGCAAAAGCTGGGAAGTCTGGTTCTGATTTAAAGGGGGCGGAGGACTGGATTCTAATCTGGGTGCAGGAAAGAGGCAGGGCATGGTGCCAGTGTGGATCCCCCCAGACTGGGATCTGGGAGGGGTGGATATGGTCAAGACAGGAAGCCTTGATTTTACTGCTCTTGGCTGAGTTAGCGCTCAGTAGGCAGCTTCAGAGGATCAATAGAGCAGCTGGAGTTACCCGGCCCTGCAGGAAGGGATCAGCGAGGAACTGGGAAAGCATGGGAGGTGCCCTGGGAGAGGTAGGAGTTAGGGAAAGCCAGAGGAGTGGCAGGGATTGGAGGCTACTGGGAAAGGGCAAGGCTGAAGGTCGTTGTGTGTATTTCTGCAACATGAGATGGGGAAATTTGTTCATTTCTTTGGACTCTGCAGCTAACACCTGGCCCTTCACAGTACTTCTCAGGGCTGTGGCTGGGCCCTGGGATGCATGCCATGGAAGTAGGTTCTAATCTAAAGGCACAGAGGGACTTGATTGGATCCCAGAGAGGTGGGCAGGGCTAGAAGCGCATGCCCCTGCCGGTACCACTGCTCTGCCTGGCCAACCAAGAAGAGGAACTTTTGAGGTTCCAAGGAGTCAGAAGTGGCTCACAAGATGGGTGGCTCAACTTCCACTCCAGGCTTAATTTCTACCCTCAGGGTTGGTATTGAGAAGAATTCTGCAGGAACCTGATGAGAAAGATTGAGAGTAGATTATACAGGAAAAAGCTTGGTGGGGTGGAATAAAAATAGGGGTTCAGGAGCCAGCCAGGCATCATGTTTACCAGCTCAGAGCAGTGGGAGCTTCAGAAGGGGAAGGGAAGGGAAGGGAAGGGGAGAAAGCCAGGCTGCTATTGATAAAAAGTGAAACCAAATTTCAGAAACACCCTCTGACCTCCCTCCATGCAGGTTTTCTTACCTTGACTATGCAGAGGGAGGCCCAAATGCAGAACCCCCTCTTCCATGGCCTGGGATGATCCCATGCCAGAAACAGTGCACTCAGGTTGCTGGAGTGAAAAGGACTGGAGAAGGAGCTTTGAGTGTGGGGCTGCCCTGGCTGGACCACTGGGTCAGGAGAACTTCGTGGAGGGTTTGGGCACTGGAAACCAGGAAGAGTGGGGGAAGGGGCACAGCTGACTCCAGAGGCGGATCCCCTGGCTCAGGACAGAGAGTGTATTGTCCAACCAGAAGGCTGCTGCTGCTGAGCAAGGAGCAGCAGTTTCTTCCAAACTTCTGGGGAGGCAGGGAGGGTTAGGAAAGGCTCCCCATTACTTGTGGCCCTGGGGGCTACAATGGTTGCTGAGAAACGAGGCTTATTTGGCAAATAACTGCTTCCCAAAAGCAGATGTGTAGCTCACTTCCTGAGAAACCAGATGTGAGCTTGTATAGCACTTGGTGACGCCCTTACCATGAACTGGGACCCTCATTCCCTTGGGATCCAGAGCAGAGCTTGATTCTGCTAAGCCAGGCTGCATGGCCTGGAGAACACAGGCCAGCCAGCTCTGTCTGTACTCTGCCCCATCTCTGGTACCTCAAGATTTCCAGGAGGCTGGCAGTGAAGGCTGACCGCCCCAGACCCTTCCTGCAGCTGGACTAAAGAAAGGGTCCACACGTGGTCACTGCTGAGCCCTCAGCCATGCCAGAGCCTAACTTTTCCCGATTTTAGAGCACCCTCTTGGGACACAATAGGGAAATTTGTTCCTGCTTGCCCTTTCTGTGCACCAAACATAAGCTTTCAATAAGCCTTTCCCAATTTGTCCTCCACTATAAATGGCTTTGAAAGGAAAGCTGGAGGATGTGACTGAGCCCTAGACCAGCTCCTGGGGTGTAGCTGCCCCAAGCAAGCTTTGCCTTGTGGGTACTACAGACACCTGGGCAACAGGCAGCTTTTTTCCCCACTCAGCAACACTGAAAGCTTCTCATATCCCAATTCACTAAGCCTCTGATCACTCAGCTCTGCCAATTCTGGAAATCAATGGACTTGGTAAAAACTAGAAAAGGAGCTGCTTTAATTGGCTAGCAAAGCATCAGTCACTATTCCTACCTCTTCTCACAAAACCCCCTCCCTTTGGCTCAAAGTCCCCAAATTGTGGTATCCTAGGGATCTGTCCTCCACTCCCAGTGACCTAAAGGATTCTCTGCCAGTCTTAGCCCCTTTCCTGCCTTGCAACAATGACCAGTCTGTCCGCAGCTGTCTGGAAAATTCCTATTAAACCTGGGGCATGATTCACAAAGCCTCTGTCCTGGTAACCCAGAGTGGCCTGCCATCCAGACTGCAGCCAGCAGTGTGGAGTTCATGATCTCATGCGCTCCTAAGCCAGGATGGGGGCTTGAGGCACCACACCAATGTTGTGCTCATCTCATCACATACAGGACCCCAGGCTCCTGCAGGTGACTAAAATGAGCATATGCCAGATATGCTAGAGGGGGAGCTGCCATGATTCCCACCTAGTTCTTGGGCCTTCTAAGCACTGAATTTCTTTAGCTCCGCCTTCTGATTTTGCACAGATCATACCCAGTGCTGTCACTGGAGGGTCAAACAAAACACACTGGAGTGTGGAGTATGTCAAAAGAATTCCAGCATTAAAATGAATTTTAAACATCAGATTTATTTGGAGAAAACAAAACAAAAAACCCCACAACCCAAAGGATGGGATTTTACATCTCAAGACATCTCCCAGGTAGTTAAGTCTACAGATTACAAATCATTTTCATAGAAGATATTTTTTGTACAAATTTTACATGTATTCAGGAGTGGGACATAAACCAATCCCTGTTTCTGTTTAGTGGGGGCAAGGAAGGGGAGTGGGACAAAATAGCCTTTTTGATGCAACTATTTGGAAGGAGAGCAGACACGAGGGCAAACTGTACCTTTTCATTATCTACAACCAATGGTTTAAAAAGCAAACCCATTCAACTCAGGGTATGTCTAAAAGCCCACTGCCTAGCTACTAGCCAGCCCCACCACTTAAGGGTAATTCTCTGGGTATACCTTTAGTCCACTGGATAAATGGCTCATTATGCCCACTGCTGCAGCTCTCATACACCCACCCCCTGCAGACCAGAGAGGCTCTACCCTAGGACCAATGGGAGAAGGACTTGTAAATAGAGACCAAGCTATACCTGTGGGCAGCACCAGTGCTGCCTACAGTGGGAACAGATCCCATCTACCAGGCTGACCCCCGAGACAAAGGTGCATATAAAAGTGAAGCTATTGTGTTGCAAGAGAAACCAGGGCCTTGTTAAATAGATCTTTTATCATTTTTTCTTTCAAGGGAAGCTAAAAATCATACTTCCTCCCCCAAGCAAAAAACCACATTGGTCTAGGCCACATTATAAACCCAAGCAAGCATTGGTGTGGGATTTCACTGGAAACTTGGAAGAAACAAAAAACCCCATACCCCACAGTCAAGATCATAAGAAAAGCTTCCAATGTAACTGTCCCTAATCCATCACCAAAGATCAACCTAAGAGTTTTCTGATCAAAAGAAGGGGTCAGAGCAGCAGAAGCAAGCATGCATGGAGGGGAGGAATGAGAATCAAGACCTCAAAGAGCTGATTTGTTTGTGAAAAGCATTGATTCATGATGTCACAGCATCCAGTGGCTGACATATAAAATGCTCAAGAGGTCACGTCTGTGACTTATCTAGAGACTAGTCTTTGGGAGGTGAGAGTAGCATGAAGAACATGAGAGATGGCTAAGACTGGCATTATTATTATTTTTTGGTTTTTTGAGACAGGGTCTCACTATGTAGTCCAAACTGGCCTCAAAATTTGCTATGTAGTCCAGGCTGGCCTCAAACTCGTGCAGATCCTCCTGCCTCTGCCTCCCGAGTGCTGGGATTACAGGTGTGTGCCACAACACCCGGCCCTAAGAGTCTGAATTTGTTAAAGCTTCAAGGTTTAAAAAAATGTGAATATATTTCAACTTTCAGAAAGGGTAAGAGAAAGGGCAAAACCAGGACACAAGACCAGGAATTCCCATGACCCCTAAGTGCTTCCTGCTCGAAGAAATAACCATTCACATGTTTACTAGAGGTCTTATCATTTCCTCCTATACCTGGTGCAAAATAATCCATCACCTCCCAAAAGCCTCCTTTCCAAGCACGATTTCCCCATTATTTTGGTCCCAACCAGTCCTATTCTTTAGTGGCCTGTAGACACACTCCCACCTACCCCCCTGGGGGGTAAAAAATACAGAAATTTCCCCTAGGCTGGCCCCGACGATCAGAATTAAAATAAAAGGCAGGGCTGGCAGCCTCCTGGAGATAAACAATTTGAGAAGCTAACTCTACCTTTCCAAGGATAGAAAATTTATTCAGATAATGCTTGAGAATTCATATATGCCACAATAGGATAAGAATGAAAAGG